CGAAAATTCTCTCCCAAAGAGATGAAAAAGCAAAAAAGTAAACGAACGGGCAATTAGCCATTACTTGCAAAAACCGGAAGAAGAAGACACACCAGCTGACTTTGTTTATGTTTTATTTGTAAACAAACTGAAATTCATGTTGCCTCCATAAAAGAAAAAAGGAAATTGAACGTTCAATGTTCGCCAGGAACATTTCTTGAAGTAAAAACTAGTTGGCGCTATCATAAAGTCACATAGCAGGCAGCCAAAAAGCATATAAATACCAAAACTCGGAAAATGCAATTTTGTTTGTTTACAAAAATTGCAACCATATGTTTTGTGATGTTGTTGTTGTTGTTGTAGCGGCACTACTAAGCCCCGCCTTTTTCGGGTCTACGTTCAATCATTGTCGTCAAGCTCAACTAACGGGAGGCCCAGGAAACGAGCTGTTTCGATGGGTTCGGACCAGAGGGAGAGGGGTTAGTTGAGTCGGATTGAGCTGGCACGTAAAGAGGTGGTTGGTGTCGTGGGGGGGGACTCTCCACATACCGGGCACTCATTGGGGATATTGGAGTCGAGTCTGGACAGGTAGTTGTTAAGGCGGCTACAGTATCCAGACCATAATTGAGCCAGGGTAACGCGGGTCTCTCGTGGCAGTAGAAGCTCCGTCTCTTCTACAGGTGCTGATTGGGCTCGTATTACGGCATTCATAGGCCGAGAGTCGAGGTAGGTAGTGACTGACTCTTTATGAATGTCGTTGATGGCTCGTCTGTATGTCGTCGGGTCCAATGGTTGGTCTACGTACTGTTGGACTGCGTCCTTATACACGAATACGTGCCCCCTGGCGTGCCTGGGCGGAGGCTCCTCCTGAAGCAACGGTCTGTTAGGGTGTTCACTTCTGTGACACCCCACCAGAAATTGCTTACAGAGCATTTTGTTGTGTTCCCTAACGGGGAGCACTTGGGCCTCGCTGTGCAGGTGGTGCTCAGGCGTCATCAGAAGGCACCCAGTCGCTGTCCGGAGTGCGGCGTTCTGACAAGTCTGTAGCTTCGTCCACTGCGTCCAACTAGTCCCCGGCGTCCAAACTGGCGCAGCATAGTTTAAAACCGGCCGGCCAATTGCCTTGTATGTTGCCAGCAACGTTTCTTTGCACCAAGTGCTGCCGGCGAGCGACTTGAGGACCTTGTTGCGGCTCTGTACTGTATTGACAATTGCGGTTGTGTGCGTGGAGTAGGAAAGCAGGCTATCGAAGGTGACCCCTAAGATTTTCGAACGCCAAAATCGAGCAGTCGTCAGCGTATGAGATCAGGGAAACTCCCTCAGGTGGTTGAGGAAGTTTTGAGATGTAGAAGTTAAATAGTAAGGGGGAGAGAACACCACCTTGTGGAACCCCTTGTTTAATCCTTCTTGGTTTCGAGGTTTGATCTCGGAAGATTACTGACGACTGTCGACCACTCAAATAATTCGCCGACCATCGCTTCAGTCCCTGTGGGAGTGAGGAGGCCTCGATGTCTTCTAGTAGCGTGGAATGACAGACGGTGTCAAACGCCTTTGACAAGTCCAGCGCTACTAGGACCGTTCTCTCACAGGGGCGGTTTCGATTTAGGCCACGAGTTATTTGTGTGTTTATGGCGTTAAGTGATGTTATTGTGCTGTGCACTTTACGGAATCCGTGCTGGTGCTTAGTTGGGGTCAGGTGGCAGAAAAGTATGGGAGTAGTAGGGCCTCAAGCATCTTCGCGACCGGGGAAAGGAGCGTTATCGGGCGATAAGAGTCTCTTTTGTTGGGGGGCTTCCCCCGTTTCAGCAGTGGGACCACTCTCCCTGATTTCCACACATCAGGAATGGTGAGAGTGGCCATGGACAGGTTGAGGACCTCCGTTAGGTAAGCTACTCCCTTAGGCCCTAAATGTTTTAGCATCAGCATACAGACTCCGTCGGGTCCAATGGCTTTGGAGGCTTTCGCCTTCCCGATGGCCCCCTTCACTTCACAGCTGGTGAAAACAAGTGGTGCACTGTTTTTTGGCAGCTTGTGCAGCCTCCTGGTCACTCGGCGTTTGGCCCTGTCTACCGAAGGGTGCAGAGTGAATTGCTTACTAAAGTAGGCTGCGCATTTCTTCGGGTCCGACGAAGCGCGACCTTCGAAAGAGATTTCCACTCTGTCATCACGCTTCGTTAAGTTGGACAGGGACCTCACGGTTGACCAGAGCTTACTCACACCAGATGTGAAGTTACAGGCCCTCAAGTGCTCCTCCCACTTTTTCCGCTTATGCTGATTTACCAGTTGCCGAATCTCCAAATTAAGGTCCCTCAGACGGGGGTCCCCGGGGTCGACCTGGCGTAGGTGTTCACGCTCTTTTGCTAGTACAGCTGCTTCGGCCGGGAAATTTGGGCGGACTTCCGCGATGCGTCCGGACGGAATGAAGCGAGCCGCTGCGGCAGTGACTACCCTGCGGAACTGGCGTTCGCCAGTGTGTATGTTTGTGGGTGTGGGAAGGGCGGCGAAGCTGCTCTCGGTGACTTCCGCGAAACCGTCCCAATCAACTTTGTTGAAGTTGGTGTAGGTTCGGTGGTCCGCGGGAGCAAAGTCGGTGGGCTTATTGATCGAGATGACTATGGGTAGATGGTCTGATGCTAGTGTTAGCAGAGGTCGCCATGAGATGCTATTGATCAAACCAGCGCTAGCAATTTTTAGGTCTGGCGAGCTGCTGCAGCTACCCATAATCCTGGTGGGGGCGTCATCGTTGATGGTGCAGAATGTCGAATCGTCTATCTGCTCAGCCAAAAGGTTTCCCCTACTATCATTGGCCAGGCTTGAGTGCCATAGATCGTGGTGCGCGTTGAAGTCACCTACTACCATTCGGTTTTCACCTCTGAGTAGCGCACCTATGTCAGGGTGATATCCTGCCGGGCAGCAGGTGACAGGGGGTATATAAACGTTGATTTCGAGCTCGACATCGCCTGACCGGACAGCTATGCCCTGACATTCTAGGGTGGTGTCCCTCGGGTCGATGTCTTCTTCGATAAGCCGATACTGCACTGTGTGGTGTAAGATGAACGCTAGTCCGCCACCATTATCTCGCTCGCGATCTTTACGGAGCACATAGTAGGCGGCGCAACCCAATAGAATTGAGTTGCTGTGCAACTTCGTTTCTTGGACCGCAGCTATCAATATGCCATGCCGACCCATAAAGACTACTATCTGCTCAATCTTGCTCTGGAGTCCGTTGCAGTTGAGTTGTAGGAGTTTCGTATGCCTTGGGAGGCTGGTCGCGATACGGGGGGTGAGGGACGAGTGAGGTCTACCTTGGGCCTGTTGCATCTGACGCGCTTGCTGTTGCTGCCTGTTGGTAGGTGGCTGCAATGGGGGCGCTGTTGTCTGCGTCAGTGGCGCTCTGCAGCATGGGGCGCTGTAGTTCGCAGTCCATTCGGTTGGGAGGTTTGCTGCTGCCCAGAGGAGCTTCTCGGAGCCGTGCAGGCTCTTCGGGTGTTGGGTGCGTTGCGCGAGCGGGTAGCCGTGGAGGCTGATTGTGCCGTTTGGCTTGAGTAGCAGGGAGCCACATAGCTTGTGGTCCACTCCCGGTGAGACCTAAGACCAGAGCAGGTTCTTAGGTGACTCCATCCGTTGCATGAGTTGCACCTAACCGAAGTGGAGTTTGGATGGAGTCGATTCTGGCAAACACAGCAGAAATACGTTTCTGGTCCGGGGTTGGGCTCTACGCCCGCCCGGAGAAGAAGGATAATAATAATATCCCAACGGTTTTTACCCTCCATTCCCGCCCATCCGCACGAGGGGCGCAGTCCGCATGACGTACGGAACCAGTATTTTCAATTTTTGCGCCGAGTCACGATAGGCAGGAGTTTGTTAAGTGTCGAGATCTAAAACTGTTCAGCTACAGAACTTAATTCATCAGCCGATTTTATGTCTATATTTTAATGATTCAATTATTGAGAGAGGACAGTATCGATTTCTTAATGCTGAAAAGCGTATCTGATATATCAAACGTGCCGGAATGAGAGTTAAAATCCTGGCATAAGCAACGGAGTGGGTCGTGCAATTCAAAATTAGTTTTACAAGCTTTCAGAAATAGGGTGCAAAAGTGTCTTGATACCCGGGAGGGAACATTAAGGCTAACTTCGCCAAGAAGAAGCGGACTTGAAATTGAGCCTGTTAGTAATTTAACTATAAAAATTGTACCAAGCATTTGCCTGCGGCTGGAAAGTGTAGGAAGATTAATAAGTTTTAATCGGCTCGTATAAGGTGGAAGGTTATATCGAGAATCCCAACGGAAATTTCTTAAAGCAAAAAGTAGGAATTGTTTTTGAATTGATTCTATCTTGTCTGAGTAAATTTGATACCTTGGATTCCAAACCGCCGAAAAGTATTACACAATTGGCCTAACTAATGTTGTAAACAGGGGTTTAGTGATATAAGGGTCACAAAATTCTTTTGACCATCGTTTCACAAATGCAAGTACACCTTTAGCCTTGTTGACTGTCACATTAATGTGAAGATTAAAATTAAGCTTAGGATCCATTGTGATACCAAGGTCCACAAAATTGTATACCTGTTCCAGGTTATGGTTACCTATTATATAAGAAACTGGCAGAACAGCTCTTCGGGAGAAGCACATTACTTTACATTTCTTAAGATTTAGAGGCATAAGATTTACTTTACACCAGTAAGCCATGCTGTTTAAGTCTGATTGTAGCAAAGACCTTTCTTCAATTGAAACGTACGATTTATAAAGTTTTACATCATCTGCATACATTAAAATTTTGGAGAATTTTATATCTGTAGAAATATCGTTTATAAAAAGCAAGAACAGAATCGGGCCTAGGTGGCTACCCTGAGGGACTCCTGAAGTAACATCAATGACGTCAGAGATAGTATTTTTAAACAATACCCTTTGTGATCTATCATAGAGGTATGAAGAGATCCAACGTAGAAAATTAGGTGGAAGACCAAGAAGATCAAGTTTATAGATGAGCAACGAGTGGCACACTTTGTCAAATGCTTTACTGAAATCAGTATATATAACATCAACAGTTTTGCTCTCACTAAACGCTTTTGAGATATAGGATGTTAATTCAAGTAAATTTGTAGAAGTTGATTTGCCCTTGCAAAATCCATGTTGACTATATGAAATGCTTGAAGTGATAGAATGCGTCAACCGATTTGTTATAATTGCTTCAAATAATTTAGGAATTGCAGAGAGCTTAGCTATGCCCCGGTAGTTCTCCACTGAAGACCTGCTACCGCTTTTATGTAAGGGGGTTATGAACGATTCCTTCCATACAGTTGGAAAAACGCCCTCTTTAAGAGACAAATTAAATAAGGCTGTTAACGGCTCATAGAGATAATCAGCACAATTTCTAAGAAAACAAGTGGGGATCTGGTCAGGACCATAACTAAAAGACTGCTTTAAGGACTTCAGGTAAACTAAAACATCATCGGGAGATATTATAGGGTTATGTATTGAGTTAATTGGACTTAGTTTAAAAGGATATGTTGGTCCACCAACTTTTAAGAGCACCTGCCTTCTAAGAATCAAACGCTAGTTTCCAGTTGACAGTAGCTTTAAAAAACTATTTATTAAGGAGAGCAGTATTAACAAACAATTCAATTACTGGCAAATATGGTTCTTACTTTGGTTTTCCGATACAATAAATAAAGTATAATATGCAAAGAAAATGGTAGTTCAATTCAATTTCAGCTATCGTCGCGTTGGTGTACATACACGCCGAAGGTTGTATTTTAATTGTCAATTTAAGGTTGCCACACTTTCACTTCTCGTTTTAATAATAAGGCGGTGTTGCAACAGGATAGTCAAAGTATGCTTGGGAGTTAGTGGAATAATTGGATTTAAAAAACTGAGCGAACATGTTAGAAATTGTTTGATCATCACCAGAGACGATATTTTGATACTTCATAGCGGAAGGAAACCCACGTACATTTCGCTTGGAGTTTACGAAATCATAAAATGATTTGGGGTTATATATTATACGTCGTTTGATTTTACACAAGTAATCTCTATAACACTTTTTGTTTAATTCAAAGAACTTGTGACGCAAAAGTGAGTATTTTACATAGTATGAGTGTAAGCCGGTTTTTTTTGTGTAATCTAAAATAACGTGACTTTCTGTTTTTCAAGTTTCTCAGTTCTTTAGTGAACCATAACTGTGTTTGTTCTTCAGGAACACACATGCGTTGAGGCACATACTTTTCAAATAATCTATGTACAGTACAATTAAAATTTGCAACGCTTTGCTCAACTTTTTCTTTGTATATAGGCCACGACAATTTAGACAATTCTTTATTCAGTTTTTTAAAGTTGGCTTTCGAAAAATCAAAGCGAATATTTGGTTCGTATGTTTGGACATCGCAATTTTGACCATCGTTTATAATTTCGTAAGATATCTCAATAGCAGGGTGGTAGACATCTTCGGGCAAAACTAGTGGGTCACATTTATTTACAGCCGACTTAAATGCATCATCAACATAAACAAGATCTAATACTTTGCCAAACTTATTGCGAAGTACATTAACTTGATTCAGGCAGAGTTCTGCCATCTCCTCTAAAAATACGTTGTTGCACGCGCTAGACGAGAAAGGTACAATATCATTGTCAATGATGTTCCATGATACATTTGGTAAATTAAAGTCACCCAACACAATCAATGAATCAGAGGGTTTAATCATTGAATTAATTGATTTCAGTAAAGATACATGTTGTGAATACACTGATAAGTCAGATCGGGGAGGAATATAGCATATAGCTAAGTAAGTAAACCCCCTTCCAACCTGAACACGAATGCATTTGAATTCTGCAGATTCAATGTGTGGAAGACTAACTTCTTCAGATGGTATTGAAGAGTCTACGGCAAAGAGTACGCCACCGCCGACTCTGTCCTCCCGATCTTTTCTGTAGATATGATAATTATTTGATGCGAAGCAATCCGGCTGCAAGGAGTTGCTCCATGGACGAACAATAATTGAGGGGTATCGCCGATCTAAGCGGGGTTAGGTCGCCGAAACAACAGCCCTTGGTCGGGTAAAACCCGAGACATTCCGGTACGTAGAACCGGCTGTCTTGGGAATGTATGTTTTGTGATCATATGTTTTCGTGTTGGATAATTTTTGCTGACTAAAATTTTGCCAGTGCAAAATGAACGCTTCTTTTGCATCAAAATGAATGCTTGCTCTCTCAAATTTTGTGTGTTGGATAATTTTTTGTCGTTATCGAACGCCATCCAGTAAAAATTTGGAAAACTATTACAAATTTTTGACTTGTCGAACGCACCTATAATCATGTCTATTTCTTAATTTGTTTCTTCATATAAATCTAATCACACAACTTCTTAAAATTTTATCTTTATGATATAGTCACCGACGAACACTCATCGTGAACGGTCGCTATCTATTTCGCTGTGCTTATTGTGCCTACCAACTACATACATACTTGTGTGTTGTTTTTTCTTTACGCTCATTAAGTTATTTCTTTTCTTTTGTGCGCTACTTTTTGTTGCTACTTTGATAGACTAACCTAACTTAAATTCGCGTTTCTAACCACGTGTTTTTCGCTATGCCCCCTGGGGCCACCAATTTTGGGGATAATAGGTACGCCCTATTATCTCCAGAGCTGAAAACTAAACGCAAAAAACCAAATTCTATTCCACTGGACCATTTTCCGGATTTACCGATTGCCAAAAAGGACGATCCAAAATATTTGATAATGTCATCGCTGGATGAGAAGAAGCCTCTCGCGTCCCTTTCGTGTTTTGCTGTATACAAAGGAATTCAAGCTATAAGTAAGGCGGTAAATAATATTTCTGAGCTCCGCGACGGCAGTCTTCTGTTACTGGTGAATAACCCAAAAACTGCGGAAAAATTCCTGTCTGCCAAACTGCTACCCGGATCCGGCCCAATCAATGTCAAGCTTCACAGTTCTCTAAATTCGGTTAAAGGGACCATTTATGCTCCTTTTCTCTGCCAACTATCCGACGAAGAAATTGTTGAAGGTCTTAAGGATCAAGGGGTTTCCTCTGTATTTAAGTTCACACGAATTGTTGATGGCTGTCGTAAGCCTTCGGGAGCTATATTACTAACTTTTGATAAGTATAATCTACCTGAAAGAATTGAAGTCGCCTGGAGAATATTAGATGTCCGTCCGTATTTTCCTAATCCTATGCGGTGTAAGCTTTGTCAAATCCTAGGACACACTGCCAAACATTGCCGTAATTCTCCTGCCTGTGCCACATGCAATCTTCCTCCTGATCACACCTCCCCAACAGACTGCTCAAGAATATTCTGTGCCAACTGTTCAGGTAATCACCCTTCGTCCTCCAACGTTTGCCCCAAATTTCAGCAGTCTAAGGAAATCCTGAAAATCAAAACTATATCTAAATGCAGTATGCGTGATGCCGTTAACAAATATAAAAATCAGCTCCCCTCCACTCCTAATCCTAATTCGTTTGCCAACATAGCAAAAAAGCCTAACCGCAATATTAATGAAACCTCCAGCATAAACCTAACCAACAATTCATCTTCAAATATTAATTTAATAACACCTACCAAATCAACTGATACCACGAAAATAACAACTTCCCTTACTCCATCTACTCCTTCAAATTTCTCCTCCCCCTCTCCTATCTTCTCCCCTCTGTCTAGTTCTTCCCCACCCGAAAATCTTTCCCTCTCATTAAATACTAACCTTAACCTTCCCTCGATTTCGCAAGTTTCTCCTCTTTCAGATGCTCATAGTTCACCTACATCATTATTTACAAATCAGTAAAATATTCATATCCTAATACATAGTAATGTTAACTAGTACATACATATCTACATATATATTTTTTCTTTTACATGCACTCCAATTATTTTGATATCTCGTATGATCTCTTTTCTTCAGTGGAATATTAACGGTTATTTTAATAATTATGTTAATCTTGAGTTGTTAATAAAAACCCTTAACCCATCTGTGGTGCTTCTAAATGAAACTCACTTAGCCAGTGGCGTGTCAGCACATACCCCTAAAGCCTACATAGGTTATTTCTATAATCTCCCTCACAATGCTATTTCCAAACAAGGTATTGCTATCCTTGTGAAGAGAAACCTCCCCCACATTCCCATTCCCCTCCCCCTTTCCATTATTGCCTCGCTAGCAATAGAAATTCAAACCCCAAATAAAATTTCAATAGCCTGTGCTTACTGTCCTCCTAACCAATTTTTCACAACTACAGACTTTACTAATCTTTTTCCACCAGGCCCTCACCCCTTTATTTTGGCTGGCGACTTCAACGCTTGGAGTCCACTTTGGGGTTCTGTTTCGGCGAATGCCAGAGGACATGCCATTGAAGACGCCATTTTAATCTCCAACAGTGTTATTTTAAATGATGGATCCCCTACCCACTTCTCCACCCATAATACCTTGACCCATATTGATCTTACCCTCTGCTCTGCATCCCTGTCCCCCAAAGTATCATGGCGCCTCTTAGATGACCTTCATTGTAGTGACCATTTTCCTATTGTTTTCACTATCCCTTCCCGTCCTTTAAATTTTTTCAAACCTAGGGTCTACTTCAAAACTGACTTAGCTGACTGGGCAAAATTTGAAGACGCCTGCGAAACATTTTCTTGCTACTTTCCTGTTTCGTCTAACATCAATCAGGAAACATCCTGCATTCAAAAAATCATTCGCTCTGCAGCCAACAAAGCCATCCCACTTACACCAACTAGACCAATCCGACCAAGTCCGTTATGGTGGAGCAGCGAACTTTCAAAATTAAGAGAGGGCAAACAACATGCGTGGCGTCAGTTCAAGCGCAATTATACCTCCACAAACCTCATTCTGTACAAGAAAGCCAATGCGCTTTTTCGCCGTAGTGCTAAAGCTGCCAAGGTCGCATGCTTCAAAAAATTTACCAGCACCATTACTGCCTCTTCTAGTACTAAAAAAGTTTGGGCTGACATAAGAAAGCTTACAGGACTACCCTCGCATTCCCCTCTCTCCTTCCTAAAATCCCCGAATGGCAATCTACTATATCCTCGTGATATAGCTCTAGAATTGGCCTCTCATTTTTCCAACTCCTCTTCTGATTCCAATTTTCCTCCTGAATTTACAGCTAGTAAGCTTGCCATACTCCGCACTCCTCGCCCATCCCCTAATGGACTGACGTCGTCGGCTAGACAATTGGATGCTGATCTTACCTTGCTGGAACTACGATCTGCCCTTTCGGCGGTTAAAGGTAGAACCCCGGGTTTTGATAAAATTTCATACCCCATTATAAATCATCTTCCTATGCCCTTTATTTCTCGCCTTCTCAGACATTATAATAACATATTTAAAACAGGCCACTATCCCCATCTTTGGAAAACTAGTTCAGTCATTCCCATTTTAAAAGTTGGCAAACCCTCGTCTGAAGTTAACAGTTATCGTCCCATATCTCTGCTCCCTTGCTTGGGAAAACTGTTAGAGAAAATTATTGCTACCAGACTTTCATGGTTTGTAAACTCAAACAAATTCATTCATCACAACCAGGTTGCTTTTAAGAAAGGTCAGGGTACGCTTGATGCCCTCTTACATCTTGACCACGTTATTTCTGATGTCCTTTCCTGTAGGAATCATATATCTTTGCTATCACTGGATTTTTTAAAAGCTTTCGATCGCATTGGAATCCATGTAGTTTTAAGACAACTAGATAAATGGAAGGTTGGGCCGAGAATCTACAATTTTATAAAATCCTTCCTGTCCAATCGTAAGGTTAGTGTTCTAATTTCCAACATCCGTTCTCCTATCTTATCCCTTGATAACGGCACACCGCAGGGTTCTCCCCTTTCTGTTATTCTTTTCAAAATAGCTTTCGATGAACTCAGTGTAATTTTCTTGGATTTTCCGACGGTTTCCCATCAAATATATGCTGATGACGTATTATTATTTTCTAAAAGCTCTGACTTGCACACAGTAATGTCTACTTTTTCAAATATCCTATCTCGAATTTCCCATTGGTCCCTTTCTTCAGGCGCTTCTATTTCTTCTAGTAAATCTAAATTACTCCATATTTGTAAGAAACGTAGTTGTTCTATTCCTTTGTTAAATTTTAATGGTGTAAACATTATTTGTGAAGATTCACTTAAGTTTTTAGGTTTAGTATTAGATTCTAAGTATTATTTCAAAGAACACTGTAAATACGTAAGACAAAAGCTATATGTTAAGTTAAATATTCTTAAATATCTATCTTGTAAACGCTCCTTCATCGGCTCGGACTTACTGATCAATGTCACTAAGGCTCTCATCTCTTCTATTGTCAACTATGGTTTGGAAATATATGGGCTGCATGCTAAAAACCACCTCAAGATGTTGGCTGCACCTTACCACACTGCAGTCCGCCGTTCTATACGTGCATTACCCACGTCGCCCATCAAAAACATTCTGGCAGAAGCAGGTCTACCTTGCCTTTTCGACAACATGGAAGACAGTATAAGAAAACTTTATCCCAAGCTCATGCTCACATCCAACATCTTTCTGAGAAAGGATTTTCATTCGGCAACATCACGCACTCGAACACCTAAAATATCTTCAGCTATCTACATGTGTTCTATCTACGCAAAAGAGAATTGCTTGCCGGCCAAATTATCGCTACCAAGATACAATCTTCGTCCTCCTTGGTTGCTAAATAAATCTTCTTTGATAAACGATTTAAGCTATTTCCAAAAGTCCAACACCACATCTGCTGAATACAATGCTTGTTTTTTGGATATATCAACTCGTTCTAAAGCTACTGGTTGGCAACCGCTATTCACTGATGGCTCCAAGGCAGATTACACTTCATTTGCCGTTGTTAAAGAAAATGGTGAAAATATATCTTATGGTTTACTTTTTCCTTTTTGTTCTATTTTTACTGCGGAAGCTACTGCCATTCTCCACGCCGTGCAATATGCTACAAAAGCTTATGGCAAATTCATCATATGCTCGGACAGTCTATCTTGCTTCCAAGCTGTTAAAAACCTGAATAATCACAACTACATAATTGGGTGCATAAGAAATATCATGATTATCCACCCTCTCAAAATTAGGCTCATGTGGGTGCCTGGGCATACTGGCATCAGCGGCAACATTTTTGCAGACAAAGCGGCAAAAGATATGAGCTTCACTCCTGTTACGACTTCTAGTCTATTTTGTAAAAATGATATCCATCGATTTATTGTGCAGCAGAGACAGGACAAGATACTTTCTGAGTGGGTGAATTACATGCATCATTATGCTAGAATCAACCCTAGCCACACCAAACCTTGCTACCCATCATCTATTCCGTCCAACTACATCACGCCTTATACGAGACTCCGTATCGGTCACAGTATCATTACGAATGCTCATCTGCTGCAAGGAACACAACCCAATTTATGCCCATTTTGCGACGCCCCAGTCAGTGTGCTACACCTATTAGTTTTCTGTCCTGAATTGGAAGTTCATAGACGGCGAAATTTTAACCATACTGATCCCTTACAGTTACTAATGAATCCTTCCCATGGTAACGTCTCTAAGATATATAAATTCCTTAAGGACTCAGATCTTCTCCGTCGTATATAATCAGTCAAGTCCTCACTGGCCAGCCGAAAGCCTATGTAGCTAGTGCTGCGTTCTTTAGTTTGTATAATAATATTGTATTTTATTATATAAGCTTTGTTAAAATAAAAAAAAAATAAATAAATCTTTATGATATAAGTTTATCAAAAACAATTTGTATACTTTAGTAATTAATACAATTAGGTACATAGATAATCAGATCAGTTATTGAAAATATTTAAAATTACATCAAGTACATAAGACAAATCATTGGCGAAAGGCAACTGCGAAATCTTTTTGGAGTCGTTTTCTTTCAGAGTCACCAGTTGTTCGTGCAATCGACGCAGATGCTTAGCCAAATTGGTGCTGCGCAATTGTGCAACATACTTAGCGCCTGCAGATGCTAATTTCCAAACTCCAACACATACAATCAATTGCTCCTCATAAGAGGCACACTGCGGTATCCCATTTGGTGTTGATGCCAAATCTAATGGTTGAGCGACAATCGCATCGACAGTGCAAACAAAATCCGAAGAAGTCATAAAAGCTGAACGGTTGTTGGGCAAGAAACACATATTACGTAGTATCCGAAGCGTGAGTACGCGTGTGGCGCTGCCGGCCGGGGCGCGTAAAATGACATCACACAAAGCGCGTAAATTGCGCGTTTGCGCACCTTCAGGGTAACGGGAAAATAACTCCCAAAATTGCAACCAAGCGCGCAGTACTTCCATTTTCACCTGTGGTGATTTCAAATGAAACGGATGCAGACTATCAAATATGTCCAGCATGTGCGCCTTAATGATGGTGACGCGACCTTCGGCACACGAGCAACAATTCATAACGACGCGCAGTCCGGTACTGATAACTGGAAAGCTCTCGGTTGTGCTAGCCTTGACACGCGTTGTTTCCGCTATAACCAACTTGATAACTAACTGCAGCAATGAATGCGCATATCCGGAAAACAGTACAGAAAACTGTTGGCTCACAATAAAAGAATGTTCGCTATGAAAGCTGCACACCTGCAATACTAGCTGCTTTAATTCGCAGGAATGTGCTAGAAACGGCCACAGCTGCATCGTAAGCTTGGAGAGAGTGATGCTCTGTAAGTTATCAGTGAGCGCTGCATCCGGCGCTGCAAACCAATGTGAGTGCACGCTGAGCAGCAGTTGTAAATTTTTAATCAGTGCCAGTTTCTTGTTCTCCCCATATCGGCGCACATACGTGGTAGCAGAGCACTTGAACTGCTCAAAAAACGTATTAAAAATCTGCGACATTTTGTCAAAAAGTTTCAGACCCTTAGCTGCTAACCTCGCTTCAGGGGAAAGACTCAGTAGAACGCCCAATGTTTCGCTAACTTGTACTTGTGTTTTGGATGGTGCAACATCAAATTTGCAAGCCGCTCTTGTATAGAGGTGCTGAAAGAGAAGGAACAACTGGACAAAAATAAAGGCAGCTGCAGATTTGGTAACTATTCTAAACAATGAATCACAGGCGCTTAAATTGTCACTGCTACTGTTGCTCTTTTTGCCATTTACCATTTCGTTTATACTTGCTGATTTGCCCGTAATGTGGTTGTCCTTTGCGAAGGTTGGATCTTTTATTTCAATATCGTCTTCCAGCACCGTCAGAAATGTCTTTTGCTCATCATGCATTTGACGTCTGTTGTGCGATTTAATTAACAATAAACTAAGCGCTGCTAAAGAACATCTTTGCAAGGGAGTGTTGAGATTGTTGATGGTAAAAGCGCGCAAAAAATTTCTCACAAGAAATTCAGGGGCTTTGGCAATATTTCGACATAACTTCTCAAAGGCCAAGTCGTCTTTGCATATAACTAAGAGCAGCTGTAATATATTGACTACAACATCAGACTCAAGTGGTTGGTCGAGCAGCTGATAAAAGCTGATTAGCCATACTTGATCCCGACACAAAATGCGTTGCAGAAAAGAAAAATTCGATGGGTAACAAGCGCCGTACAAGTGACAAATATCACCACACATTGTATAGTAAGCAGGGTTGGAGTGCTCCGGTGATATCTTCAGCAACTCATACAATCTGGTCAAAAAATTGCTCGCACATAGCACTGTTGCGAAATCGCCGTTCAACTGCAACATTCTTAAACAAATTCGACAAAGAAAACCAATCAAACCGCAATTGGCTATGCTGATTCCAGAATTGGCATCAATGTGCGGGGGTAATTGTTGGCCAAATACACAGCAGCCACGTACAGCTTCACTAGCAAATTCGAGGAATCTATGCCTGGTAAGCAAGACGTTTGCATCTTCAAATTTATCCTTATCACTGAGAAGCTTAGTAAACAAATTGGCCGCTAACTGACGCACCCCAATTGTTTCGCCGACATCTAGAAAAGTGCACAAACAGCATGCCATAAAGCCTCCAGGAAGATAAAATAAGGTATTTTGCAGCAAGTCAACACCTTTTGCTAGAGAACTTTTTGTATCTTGTTGGGAATTAAAGTGCGACACGTACGTAAGAATACACCAGGCCAGTGCGCGCACCGCTTGATCGCAGTGACCGCATAAGCCACTCAAATACTTTAATGTGGACTCACTGAGCTTAAAACTGGTTTCGGCTTCTCTCATTTGTCCATATAATTGACAAACAATGGTAAGACAATCAATCTGCCATTGCGCGCCTGTCTGAGTGAAGGACTTCAAAGCAAGCGATAATTTGATGAAATGCTTGCAGTAAGACACGAGCTGCTCATCGGAAACATTTATATCGTAAGCGCTGAGTATTTTTTGTAAATCCAATAAGCTACGTATGCGTAACAGATCCCGTTTTTGGAAATATTGCATTATCAGCTGGAAGATCAATTCAAATAGGTTGCTATTAAAAATGCAAATACCTTCATCGGCGTGTTTTACGGGTTTGACTGCTGCTATTACCTTTCCCAGTAAACTACACAATTTATGATTCAAGCGTAGAGGTGTCGCCGATACCTTAAGAAGTGATATCATAGCGTGTTGGAAGTCTGCAATAAGTTCTTTTAATAAGCGCGTACATATTATGGGTATGGAGAGTCGTACACAAAAATCGCAAAGATCGAGCAATTCTTCGAAAAGTTCATAATCAGTTTCATTGCCCGGCGAGAGCTGCAAGTACTTGCCAATTATACTATATAGCTCGTCAGCAACTTCATCGGGCATCAACGCTCCTGCAGTAGAGTGCTGATCACGCACCATTAGCTGTAGTTGCAGTGAAACACATGCATTAATTAACGAATTGTGACTTGTTGCATTTAGAATCGCCCGTAAAAACCGATGTATATTTTGTTTTGGTATTGTAGCATTCATTAGACGCCAATCGCGCAACGTCAAATGTAACCCTACATCGAGATTGTAACTCTTTTGTTTCTCCAAGTATTGCTTGGGTATAGGAAGTTGCTGGTTGCAAAAGTTAAAAGCCAATAACTGTCGAATATATGAATTTTCTTCTAATTTGCTTTTGAAAGTACCATCGTAGTGATGAAGGGACATATCTCTTTTCTTAATTGCCTGCAACTCACAACTCAATGGTATTTGTAAATTTCCCAACGACTTGGGAGCCTCAATTCGCTGATTACCCAACACCACAACATAGTTGGCATATAGTAGTAAAAAAAGACAAATACATGCATCTTGACGCATTTGTATTTCGTTCTGGTAAAGACAAAGTGCACGCAGTAGTAAAACATATATATTTGGCGTATCGGAAAGTTCGCACCGCAACCCAGTATCATAGAGCAAAACTTTGCATAGCACACCGATAGCGGGGACCGCCGCTCCAGTATAATCTTCGCACGATTCAACCACCATCGAGTTTTCGAGCGCTCGCAGTATCAAATAGTGCGCACTTTCCTCACAGAAAGCAGATAGAGTGTGCCATTGTTGGCACATAACATTTAGCTGCATTAGCGTCGTTTTACGCACTACAGGCTCCACATCGGACATCTCCAATATACTCAACAAATTAAGCAGTGTATCCCGCTCACAAAAATCTGTGACATTAATAAAGATCCGGGTATATTCTCGAGGTGTTTTCAAAATACATAAATCGTTGGGTATAACATCACTTATATAAAGCAGATTCGGTATATACTTGTCAGCATCCGGCACTGAATTCATGATGTATATAAGGCGTGTCAACGCTTCACTGCGTACGGCGCTATCACGGTGAAACATGAATCCTATGCTGCCTTTCAAAACCGCCAAAAATGGCAACTGCTTAGCATCAGGATCAAGTAAATTTTGCAAAAGTTCTATTATCTGTGGCGAATTTGTGCAGCATTGCAACAAAGGCAAGACCGGCAACAATAATTCCAACAGTTTAGTCCAATGTTCTCCCAAAAGTTTCTGAGATTTCAATATAAATACAAGAACGTCTTGGCTAATTTTGCGAATACTTTCGTGGGCTCCTTCGGTGCATTCGTAGATGAGATTGAGCAAAAGTTCACCGCTCAGCGGCACTCCCAACACTTGAGCTTCCAACAATTGTCCATGAGTTAGACCCATACTGTAGCACTCACATTCCATTAGGGCAGCAAAATGTCGTTTTACAGACATTGCAAGCATTTTGAAGATGTGCAACCTTAGTGGTTCATGTGTAAGATGCAGTAGTCGAAGTAAAAGTTCATCAGCTTTAGCGCGTAAGTTTGGCTGCGAAATATAGTGTGCATTACAATTGACAATCGCATTGAATGTTAGTTCTGCTAGCTGTATATTTTTTAAATTTTCCAACCCTTCAAAAATATCTAGTCCATTTTCTATAATATCTGCACTCACGATGGCTTGAGGATTTTTTAATAAAGTAACTGTAGTACGAATAACACCATCTAATTCCCGAAGTCGTTTAGATCCACCAACAGCATTTAAATAGCGCTGTTGAATGTTTTTGTACCGATTCGGAAAATTTTCTTTAAAGGAAAAATCGCACAAGAGGAACTCCAATACTTGTGGAATTCCTTTACAAGATCCCATTTTCATATTATGCTGCATAATATCGTCCAATAAGCATACAAGCAAGAGGTATTTAATGCGTTGTAAGGTAAAATGTTCATCCTGCTCGAAACATACTTGAAGGCTTGCAATAATTTTATTTAACCTCATAAGTACATTTGTGCCGATTGTTAATTGTTGAATGCGATACAGTTCAAGGCAGTTAGTGACAATCTCTACAATTTGTCGGGTTTCTTTGGAGAATTCAGTTATCGTTACCTCCAATATGTGTATGCTTTTTTCAATAGCAAAACGCAATATTGTACCAACTTTTAGCTGCGTATTACCGAATTTTGATGTTTTAACTGAATATGCTGTTACATTATTGCGCGTTTTTATTCGCTTTAAAAGCAGGCGCAAGTAAGCGTTAATAGTTCGTGCCACATCTTCCAACAAACTGTTGATTTCAATGTCATCGTAAAACCGATATAAATGCATTAGATTAAGGAATACATGTGGAGATTGAAGCATATATTCAGCAGGATAGTCTAGCATTGTGATTTCCAGATGCAGCAGGACATTTGCCGCTTCCACTTTTTCCACATCTGTCGACGACAATAGGTCAGTCATAAAAGTGAGAGTTGTAAAATCGGCGGGTGTAGGTATTGACCACGCTGGCTCATAATCAATTGGTTCAAAATGAATTAACAGATCCTTATTTCTAGAATGACTGCCTTCATCCTTGGCAACAGAAAGCGAGTCAAAAATTTCTGTAACGTCATCTATTTTATCTTCTAATTGATTATATTGGTATTCTTTCAATATGTACATGATTTCATCTACTATTTGAGATTCGCTGGGACGTTTCCTGAGTAGCAACCTAATTTTATCCATTTCTCTTTTGAAACGCTCTACACCTAGCTGTCTTATAGATTTTTCGTTCGAGCGAAGAATCAATAAAAGTAACTGAAGCACCCGTTGTGTAGCACTTAGTGGCTCAAACTCAAACCAACGAATAAGTTGTTTGCATAGCTCTCCTGCCTTGAAGTGTAGTTTTTCGTTATGCTCATTGGCACGATTCATCTTATTCCATATTTGTTCCAAAGTGCGCACCCTTATCTCAGGAGAGTTATGAGTTAGCTTCTGTATTGTAGCATGATCCAAGTGTAGAGACATACTTGCGGCTTTATTAAAAACAAATAAACATCAAACGTGAATTTCAAAATTTGTTTGCCGACTTCAAAGCGTATTTATATTAATTGAAGTTAAATTTTTGATATAATATTTATATATCATGTTTTATATATATTTTTTATATTTATCAAAGCGCCCTACTAGGGAAGAGTGTATTTCGGATATTAATTAGAGATATGCTGAATTGCCATTACCCAATGCATGGTACCCAATACTTCAGAAAGATTTCGGTACCCAATACTTCCTTTCGGTACCTAATACCGATTGTAGACATATACTACGTTTATACGTAAGTTATTTGCAAAAAAAAAATAATCTGCAATACCTAACTCACTGTTTATTCGATGGTGAAAAATTCTTTTTTAATATTGCCTGATTATAAAAAAGCAATAATATGACCAACGAAAAAGAAAATAAAGTAAAAAATGGCAACGTCTTGATTATTAAAAGGCAATAAGATGGCCATCGAAAAAGAAAATAAACCTAAGAGTGAAGGCGTCTTGCGCGTATTTGCAAATAATACCACTAATCAATACTTACTTGCGAGATTTAGTTATTTGCAAATAAAAAATTAAATCAGCGTTTATACGGCAAAGTTTACCATTTCGCAAATTGTTATTTGCAAATAATAAGGGCGTATAAATGTAGTAATAATTGGACATTTTTGACATAACTTTCAACAGAAAATCTGTGGAAAATCGATTTTATCGACGCAAACAAAACGGCACAATTTGATTGTTGTTGTTATTGTTTTGCCGCATATGCGTTCGTCAAGAGTTGAGAGATGGGCGAATTTTATTAGTTGCGGCAATCAACTTGGATGATTTGTTTTCGTAGGTTTCTGAGCTGCTTTCCATGAACGAAAGACACAAGATCACGTAAGAACAAGAGAGTGAAAAAAGTTTTTTAGCGGGTTCTACGCCATCTTGTTTCACTGGAAAACGAGCGAAAAGTAAACAAAGCAAAGAAAACAACGAAAACCAAAATTAGGCAAAATTATTGTCAGCCACTTTAAACGCACAATTTAGGTAAAATGATGCAACAAAATGCTTTAAAATATGTTGTCATGTTGAAATGACTCTTCTTTACTTGAATAAAAGTGTAAAATAGTGGTGCTTGTGATGTAAACAAATGCTCAGCTGACGAACCCGCTTTCGCAAACTTTTGCGAAAATAGCTCACAAATCAAAACTTGCATTTAAAAGTAAAGTTTATCAATGTGTATAGCCCTAATTTAATACGGATACTTATAAATTTTTAGGAAGAACCTACTTTTTGCATCAATTTTGCAGCGGAGAAAAACAAAAACAAAATACGGTAACCGAGAACTGTTAAATCGAATTAAGAATGTGTCGTGGGAATAGGGTAATTCGCGATCGTAATTAGGGGAGCGAACAAAATAATTGAGGATGGCGTGGGAAAATGGTATAAGACGATGCTTTCCCAAAAGATAAACAATTTGTATAAGGTAACATCGTCCGATTCATCTAGAAAAAAATTTTTCAAATAAGAGTTTCTCTTCATTGTGGCGATGGAAAATTTATATATATTTTTTTATTTCAATTAGCATTAAAACCTCTATTAGCCCCTACACTTGCTTTTGATAGGCTAGGCTCCCCTAAACCGCTTTTAGTTTTGGTCTGTAATCGTTCTTTTTGGAAGCATAAGAGTACAACTCCGCAACAAGCTTTTCAGGCGTTCAACGTTTTTCAGGCTTTCAGCAATAGCTGAATTGTGTAGCTGGAAGCATGGTTGCCACAATTGGTAACTTTCAACCTAAATTGGTAACTTTTAAACGGTTTGGTAACTTGGTAACTTTTATTTCATTTTGGTAACTTTTGCGACTAAACATCTATTTGCATTACTAGAAAGAAATGAATTATGTTTTGAATGTGCGTAATTATAAAAACCCTTCGAGTTTCAGTGGCAGCACTACTGACACTTTTACAAAATTACTTCGATTAAAGTAGAGTCATCTCATATTCGAATACTGGAAATATTTGAATTACAGTGGCAGCACCAAGGGCTGCACTTTTAAAACCACTTTCGAATTTTTGCGATAAATTTTGAATTCTACCCTCTCACATTTTAATACTGGCCATCTGGCAATTTTTGGTAAGGTCCAAAAACGTTTTGTTTTTTTCCGGCAAAAAAAAATGTTGCGTGCTTTTTACCAGACCCATCTACCGACATGTATTTCGACGTACAGTAAATTATGAAAAACTGAAAAAATAGCAAAAAAATTAGCAATTTTCAAACGAACGGTGCTATTATTCCGTGAGTCGCAGGTCCAAGTGTCGGCACATTCCGAAAGAAAAATTACACTGAAAATGACACAACGCCGAAACCGGTTTGTCTCCAAACTAAATTTGACAAGGGACGATGGAAACTCGTTCCATATTATATCATACTCCTACCCTGTCGGAAACACCAACAACGAAAATGAGAGTAACGGCACATGCAGTTATTAATTGATAGAAAAATATTTTCTAATAAGAAAATTATAATATAAATATTATTCTTGAAAATTTATCAAAAAAATAGATCTTAACTTTTGTGCTAGAACTGGGAGTTCTTGATAAATTTTCAAAATTGACAAATTATAAAAATATTGAATTTATTAAGTGCACAGAACGGGGCTGTAAGTATACACATATTTGTTATGAAATATAGCAGTGTTATTCAGTATATTATTTTCTCACTGAAGAAGTGAAGATTTTGGTAGTGAAGATTTGGTAACTTTTGGGAACTTTTCTTAAGAGATTTTGGTAGAAAAAATGTTGGCGAGTGGCAACCATGGCTGGAAGCCCCAAATGCCGGAAAAGCTGGTTGTGGAGTTGTACTCTAAACGTTTTGGTACCGAGCATCAAAAGTATTGGATACTTTTTGAATCGGTACCGAGTATCGATCAATACTTAAAAGTATCATCTCAGCAAATAACTAATATTAATCGATTAAGAAAGTACTGATAACATATTTTAATCAACCCCAGGGATGCCAACTCTTTTAAGGCTAATTCCCCTAAATTCTTAAGTAGCTGTTAGACGTAGCAAGTGTAATTCCATTTCAAAAGTCTGTCAAACTCAAGAATTTCCAAAGGAGGAGTTACACCTTGCATGTAAAGTGACTTTCGAAAGCACTTTTTATTTCTAAAAATCAACTTTCCGATACTACTTTTTGTCTTTTACATGGTGAATGCAGACAAGCCCACTTTCAACTATGTTACCGGACATTCTTATGCCTATAACAAACTTTATGACCTGGAAAATTTGCTAAACCTGCTAAATTGTGCACAAAACATTCACAAAATATAAAATACGTTAATACTTATGTACTTCATATCAGTAGAATAAATTAGTTACACATATTTTTCATATTTTATTCAACATTTTTATAATTTTATACAAATTTGCTAAAAAACGCGTCACACGGCAACACTTGATTGGTTGGACAGCACTCGCAGCAAAGTCAGAATTGCTAGTGCAGCACGAGCAAAGGGATTTGCATAATTTCAGTTGCAGTTACAAATTGCAGTTTTTATTTCCTAAAGTGATTTCTGCAAATCTGCAAAAAGGACTTTTTGGCTGTTTACACGGGAAAGTAGGATTTCGATTTCGCATTTTGACAGCATAGAAAACCGCTTGCATTTCCACGTTTAACCGTACCTTTAAGGTAGAGGTATTCCTTGAAATAACTTTTGCTATTTTAAGGCCAGTATGCAGCTCTCAAGAAAACAGTTCCGAAAAAATTTCATTATTTCGCGTGGCTTAAAGACCAGTATGGAGCTATCAAGAAAATAAAAACTTCATATAAAATAACGTACAAAAATTGGCTTTCTTGTGTCAAATGTTCTTAAGGCAGTACGTAGTTCTTAATAAGTTTGTTATCTTTTCTACTACGGCTTTCTAAAGTGTTTTGGTGAAAAACAACAAACGGCAACCCATGTTTGCAACAGAAATATAGACCCGTTCCATTATTTCTTGAGGAAATAGTGAGGCTGTGAAGGGTCAGATATAAAAATTACTTGGACACACACAGAAATAATAGGTGTAGTGATGTGGGTTATCCCACATCTTTAGTTGCTGGGTGTACCTTCAATAAATGGTGCCTGCTGCTTTTTGACTTAAGCCTAGCAGCTGTCATACATACGACAGGGTCGCATTCTAACATCGTAAATTCTTAATAGTAGTAGATTAGCTTTAAGGTGATTCATATAAGGTGATTTGTAGTAATATGTAGCGTTGCAAAATTGTATGCTTGATCGCATTACATCCCCCTCCTTTGGAAAAGGAAGAATTTGGCAAAGTGAGCAGTTTTGCCACATTCTTCTGCCAAAAGTTATAATTAGAATTAAAGTGTTTTGAAGGAACGAATTTGAGGAATGATTAAGAGATAATCCTCCCTCTTTCATTCGTTCATTCATAGCAATTTAATTTATGGAAAACATTTAAATAAAAGCTATGGTATTTACTAAATTATTATTACTTGTTTTATTTATTAATAATTATTTAATTGGAAACTATTGTGTAGTAGTATAAGGATAAGTATGATATTTTGTAGGTAGCTTATGATAATTAACTATGACTTGTGAGTCTAGTTAATTGAAATTTACATAAGTATATTTTAATTTGCCTATGGCAAAATGGAAATTTAAGTTTCTTTTTTTTTGATAGTATTTGTACAAAAATTTTTAAAGTTTGATTTTAACAATGCATGAAAAATGCTTTTTGTTTTAATAAATTCGTTTCATATTTTGCGAAAAAATTCTTAGTTTACAATTTCATGGAAAAATATATTATAAATATACTTATAAAAATGTTTTGTTTTTTTTTCTTCTTGAGAGCTAGTTTTCATAATGAAAATTTATACATTTCAAATTATAATTCTTTTTTTTTTGTACAATTTTTATTTTTGTTGATGGTAATAAAAGAAAAAATAAAAGTAATTATACATACGTATATACATATATAGACAGATAGATAGATTAAGTAGAGGTATGCACTGCGACCAAAGGATCTATTATGCCCTCGACTGTTTAGAGTACCTCATCTAATCCCAGAGAACCCAGAAATTTAAGGAGATCTCGGGGGGTTAGCGATTGTATGACTTCTTCACTTGGCCAGAGTTAGCCTAGGTGTCTCTCCCGTCTTCTCGCAACTGCCTCGCA